GAAAAAAAATACCTGCAGAAAAAAAAAAAAAAATAAAAAAAAAATTTTAAAAACATTTATAAAAAAAAAAAAAAAAGGTAAAAAAAAAAAAACAAAATTTAAAAATTATTAATTTAAAATATTCAAAAAATATTATATGTTTCGCATAAAAAAATAAAATTAATAAAAACTTTTTTGCCAATTAAAAAAATATTGCAAATATAAAAAAAAAAAAAAAAATTTAAAAAAAAAAAAAAAACCCCCAGATAGCTGAAAGATTTTTCAGCACATAAAAAAAAAAATAATAAAAAAAAAAATTAAAAAAATTTAATAAAAATGAATAAAAATAATTTAACATTAAAAGTAACCTAAAAAAATAATAAGGAAAAAATCCTCCTATGTACATTGGAAAAATTTAAAAAAATTTTTGCAGATTCCTCCCTTTTGGTATTCTAAGAAAAAAAAAATGTATTAAAAAAATGTGCATTTTATTAAAAATGGGAGTGAAAAAATAATATTTTATTAATTAGCTGCCACACTAATAAAAATTCTAATTTTAAAAGTAAAAAAAATCTGCAAAAATAGACATGGTTTCTCTTTGGTAGTATCTCACAAAATAAAAAATTTTCATTGCAATAATGCCCAAAATCTGACTTAATAAAAAAAATTTTAAAAATCTGGGAAAAAATTTATCAGTGAGGTGATCATAAAAGCAAAATGAAATTTTTGGGGGAAAATATATAATTTGTGTACAAAAACCTCCAGGTTGTCATAATGCATTAAAAAAAGACTAAAAATAAATTTTTAAAATGAAAATCAATTACAAATATGACTTAATTTAATTGTTTATATTATATTAAAAATTTAAAAAAATTTTAAAAAATTTTTTCCATGAAAAAAAAAAATGGAAAAAAAATAAAAAAAAAAAAAAAAAAAAAAAAATAAATTATTAAAAATTTTATTTTGATGAAAAGGGTAAAAAAATTCATAGGTAAAAAAAAAAAAAAAATATATAAATGGAATGTATGGTGGTTTTTTTAAATTTCTTTTTTTCATTTATTCTTAATAATATTCTTATATATTAATGTTAATTAATACTACCTAATATTCATAAAAATATATTTTTATTTAAAAATGAAAAAAAAAAAAAATATAAAAAAATGTTTTATTAATTTGTAATTAATAAAGGTGTTAAAAATTATTTTAAAAAAAAAAAAAAATATATTATTATTAATAAATTAATAATAATCAATTTAATAATAGTATATTATAATCATGTTATACATGTAATAATTACATTAATAAAAAAATAAATATAATATATAAAATATATAAAATATATATATTTTATATAAATTTTGCAAAAAGCTAAAGCTAGGCAAGAAGGTGCTCAAAAAATAAAATAAGTTGTATAAAAAAAATAATAATAACAATGACATAATTGTTAATAATTTTTTTTATTATTATTATTATTAATAAAATATTATTACAAATCATGTTATAATTTTAATAAAAAAACATAATAAAAAAAAAATAATATAAAATTAAAAAAAAAAAAAAATATTTTTTTATAAAAATAATAATAAAATAAAAATAATATTAATTATTATTATAAATAATGTTATACATTAAATAATTAATAATAAAATTGATATATAATATATATATATCAAAAAATAGTTGCTAGGAAAAAATAAAAAAGTAAAAAAAAAAAAAAAAGCAGAAATGTATATAAAATGTATAATAAAAATAATAATAATAATAATATATTATTATTAATAAAAAAATTTTTTATTATTTATTAAAATAATAATAATTTTAATAATATTAATTTAAAATAAAATTTTTCAAAATAAAAAATTAATAATTATATAAAAAATTTATATATATGTCAATGGAAAGCTATATTGCTAGGCATACAAGTGCTAAAAAAAAATTTTTTATAAAAATTATAATAATAGCAATTGATATATTATTATTATTATTATTATAAATCATGTTATAATAATAAAAATATAAAAAAAAATATTATTATTATTATTTTTATAAAATATTTTATAAATTATATATATATATATATATATATATATATATATATATAAAACACAAACATTATATATATATATTATATATATATATATTTTAATTTAAATCTCATTATTTTAATAATAAAAAATTATATATAAAAAAATTTAATATGTATAACATGATTTATAATAATAATATTATTTTATAATATTAATATAATTATTATTATTATTATTATTATTATATTAATAAATAAATCAGCATTGCTATTAAATTATATATATATTTCTCAATGGAAAGCTAGTTGCTAGATAAGAAAGTGCTTTAAAATAATTTTTATACATTTTTTATATTTCAGGTGCTAAATTGAAATCTATTTGGGAACTCTGCCCCAATAAGGTCATGTATTTTATTTAAAATGAGCTTCCAGTGACACCATGTGAGGTGACCCCCAGGGAAGGCGATGACTATGGCGTATGGGAAATGAAACGAAAAAAAAAAAATAATATATAAAAAAGAAAGGCGAAAAAATCTAAAAAAAAAATTTAAATTTTTGCATATAGTGTAAGAGATTACGAGGACACCATCAACAGTTTTCATAAAATATTTTCCAAATAAATACCCAACACGTTTCGGCGCATATTAAACTCCCCCTTCATCAGGGCTTGTAAAAAATGGCATCAGTGACACATGGTTAAGTAATGTAGCATGTTAGCTCCTGAAGCTACATACATTCTTTTCCTCCTCACTACTACAGTCCATGACCGATTCTCACTATTTTTAAAAACCCCGATGAAAAAAAAAAATTTGTGTGTGCCGAAAACGCGTCGGATATTGATGTCAAATCTATTTTACGAAATAAAAAAATTGATGGTGCTCTAATTTCTCTCACACTATATGCAAAAAAAAAAAAATAATTTGAGTTGGCCTTTATATGAATTATATTTCTGATTGGCTGGTTACATTTTTATTTTTAATAACTATAAAATTATAAAAAAATTTTTTAATATTTTTTTTTAAAAAATTCCAAAAAAAAAAAAAAAAAAAAAAAATAATTAAAAAATTTTATTCCAATGGAAAAAAAAAAAAAAATTTATTTAGAGTTAATTTATATTATTATTTCTATTGGCTGGTTATTTTTTTTATAGTAATAAAATAATAAAAAAAATATATATTTTTTTTTTACTGAAAAAAAATCCAACGGAAAATAATTGGAACTATTTGTCAGGCTTACCAGTAATGCTGCTTTGGCTTGGTTTATAGGTACACTGCTGGAATTAGTAATGGCATCGACATCCTGTAAGAAAACAAAAAAATGCTGAAAAAATGGACCAAATAATTGCACAAATTAAATAGAAAATAAAAAAGAATAGAATATGGAAATCAGCGGGTATTTTATTTCTCCATCTAGCGATGGAAAGAGATTTTGTCTTAAAAAGTGATCCAGGAATAATCTGGAATTAAACCCAAGAAGAAGAATGTCATATATTGTAGCTTACCGGTCTTTAGATGCGGTGAAAATGCAATTTTTTTCTTTTTTTAAAGTTTTTTTAAATTATTTTCCCCGTTGATCCTGCCACTAACACACCTTCTGTCCCAGGGTGGCACCACTGTATATAATATATATACAAAAAGTTTTTGTTTTTCACCCTAGGCTGCTTACTCCTGATTTGGACAGAAAAAAATCGCTGGTTGTCTTTACAAAATAAAGGGGTTTTATTTTGCAGGCTTTTTTTTTTTTTTTTTGCAGAAAAAAAATATTAGCCCAGAAAATAAAAAATGAATATAGCCCCCATGTCTAAGAAATTGGTAAAATGAAATATATATTACATTTTTTTTAAAATATTACTGTATGTATATCTAAACCCAATGACTAAAAAAAATATTTTTTTTTATTAATTATTTTAAAATATAATTTTAATATTAATTTTAAATATAGTATTTCAATTTTTTATTATTTTTTTTTTTTATATTTTTATTCTGATATATATTTTTATAAAATAAATTTAACTAAAATTTTTTAATGTAAATGTATTATTTATAATAATAACAGTGAAGCGGCGAGCGGGCGACCAGATCTGATTATTTTCACATCCCTTAAAGTTGCAAATATTCAATAGAGAAGATTTTTTTTTTTTTGCATGACTATGAATACAAAACATATTAAAAAGTTATATTTTTTTTTATTTTTTTATTTTTATTTAAAAAAAAAAGGAAAAAAATACAGAAAGACACTTTCGAGCACATTTTTCTCATCAAATTCTACAGAAATGATTAATTTGAAAGTATAGACTATACGAAATAAAAATTATATAACTTTTTAATATTTTTTGTATTTATGTCCATGCACCCTGAATGTCCCATCTTCTATATTGAATATTATTTATAATAATATTAATGTATTATTTATAAATGTAGTTTTTTTCCTTATTTTTTTTATTTTTTTTTATATCCTTTTTTTCATGTTGTTTTTATTTTTATTACTTTATTTTTAATTATTTTGTTATTAGTAATAAAATAGTAAAAACTACAATATTCATTTCTAGTACTTTTTTTTTTTTTTTTTTATTCAGTTTTATATCTGTTTTTTTATAAAAATATTTATTTTGATATAATTAAAATTTTTTCTTATAAAATAATCCTTATGTAATATTAATTTTAAATTGTAGTATTTTTTTTTTTTTTTTAGATTTTGTTTATTATTCTCCTAGATTGTAAGCTCCCAGGATCAGGGCCCTCCTATCCCTCTTGTAGTGAACGGTATTGTTGCTGTATTGTCTCCCGTTATATTGTACAGCGCTGAGCAAACTGTTGGCGCCATAAATCCTGTATAATAATAATAATAATAATGATTCATTTTGATATAATTATTTAAATTGATAATACCATTTTATTATTTTTCTATACTTTTCAAAGCCTGCTGGCTCAACCTTCGCAACATCTCCAAAATACACTACATCCTAACCAATGACACCGCAGAGCTCCTAATTCCCTCCCTGGTCATCTCTCGCCTCTACTGTTGAAACTCCCTCCTCATTGGCTGACCTTTACATAGGCCCTCCCCCCTCCAGTCCATCATGAATACTGCTGCCAGGCTTATCCACCTTACCAACCACTCAGTGTCCTCCATCCCTCTGCCAATCCCTCCATTGGCCTCCACTCAGTGTCCTCCATCCCTCTCTGCCAATCCCTCCACTGGCCTCCACTCAGTGTCCTCCACCCCTCTCTGCCAATCCCTCCACTGGCCTCCACTCGGTGTCCTCCACCCCTCTCTGCCAATCCCTCCACTGGCCTCCACTCAGTGTCCTCCACCCCTCTCTGCCAATCCCTCCACTGGCCTCCACTCAGTGTCCTCCACCCCTCTCTGCCAATCCCTCCACTGGCCTCCACTCGGTGTCCTCCACCCCTCTCTGCCAATCCCTCCACTGGCCTCCACTCGATGTCCTCCATCCCTCTCTGACAATTCCTCCACTAGGTGTCCTCCACCCCTCTCTGCCAATCCCTCCACTGGCCTCCACTCGATGTCCTCCACCCCTCTCTACCAATCCCTCCACTGGCCTCCACTCGGTGTCCTCCACCCGTCTCTTCCAATCCCTCCACTGGCCTCCACTCGGTGTCCTCCACCCCTCTCTGCCAATCCCTCCACTGGCCTCCACTCAGTGTCCTCCACCCCTCTCTGCCAATCCCTCCACTGGCCTCCACTCAGTGTCCTTCACCCCTCTCTGCCAATCCCTCCACTGACCTCCACTCAGTGTCCTCCATCCCTTTCTGCCAATCCCTCCACTGGCCTCCATTCAGTGTCCTCCATCCCTCTCTGCCAATCCCACCACTGCCCTCCACTCAGTGTCCTCCACCCCTCTCTACCAATCCCTCCACTGCCCTCCACTCAGTGTCCTCCACTCCTCTCTGCCAATCCTTTCACTGGCCTCCACTCGGTGTCCTCCATCCCTCTTTGCCAATCCCTCCATTCGCCTCCACTCAGTGTCCTCCACCCCTCCCTGCCATTCCCTCCACTGGCCTCCACTCGGTATCCTCCATCCCTCTCTGCCAATACCTTCACTGGCCTCCACTCAGTGTCCTCCATCCCTTTCTGCCAATCCCTCCACTGGCCTCCATTCAGTGTCCTCCATCCCTCTCTGCCAATCCCTCCACTGCCCTCCACTCAGTGTCCTCCACCCCTCTCTGCCAATCCCTCCACTGGCCTCCACTCAGTGTCCTCCACCCCTCTCTGCCAATCCCTCCACTGGCCTCCACTCAGTGTCCTCCACCCCTCTCTACCAATCCCTCCACTGGCCTCCACTCAGTGTCCTCCACTCCTCTCTGCCAATCCCTCCACTGGCCTCCACTCGGTATCCTCCATCCCTCTCTGCCAATCCCTCCACTGGCCTCCACCCCCCTCTCTGCCAATCCCTCCTGCCAATCTCCTTCCTCCAATATTTATATTCCTTTAGGTATTCATATGTGATACGCCAACTTGGCCTTACCTGCGGCACCGTACTGACGAAGGTCTTCAGGTTATCCGCGGTGTCATTGAAGGTATTGAACCCGTTCTCCACCGCCTTGCCTATTTTGCTGTTGCTATAAAACGCACAGACGTCACCAGCCCTGCCGGGAGGAAACAACAGAAATGGGGGACATTAAAGCAACAATCGTAACCTGGACCCATATGGAAGAGATATATATTTTCAATACAGTTAGAAAAAAAAAAATATACATGCAACATATATTTACAATATTTTGGCCTACACAATTTTAACGAATTTTAAATATGTATCTCTATTTTTTTTCTTGAGGTGAACACCTGTAGTTTAAAATAAAAAAAATATCACGGACAGTACTCAATTGTAACATGTATTCCAAAAATGTAAAAATAAAATATATTTTCCAAAGGCATATCTCTAAAAATATATTTTTTTAAAATATATTTTTTTTTCAAAAACGTAAATTATTTTTTTCCAGATATTTTTGAACACCTAAAAAAATGCATTTAAACATAGATTTTTAAATATGCTTGTAAATGCATTCCAAATGACACTTTGATATATATTGCAGCGTGTGTTCTGAATATATTTCTTTAATAATATATTCACAAATATATTGAAATATATTTTTTTTAAATATATTGAATACGGCCAAAATTGTAGTCTTTTGGGAAAATATAGGTCAATATATTTTTCTTCCAAATTTTAAAAATATATTTTTGGAATACGAAGAATTTGATATAGGTCAATATTTTGGGAAAATATATTTTTTAAAATATATTTTTCTTCCATGTGGGTAACCCTCTTACATCCAGATTTTTTTGGGAGTTAAAACCCTCAAACATTTTATAGGATCTGAAAGCAGCCACCCGAAGAATAAAATGGCGGTTGTTTTAAAATTTTTATGCCACATAATATTTGCACAACATAGGATCAAGCTCAAATTTTCAGTAGAATATTCAGTATTTCGTGTTATGGAATATTCTGGTAAAATTTAAAACAGGAGGTTGCTCCGAGTGACTTGATTCCCAACACGTCGAACTTTAATACTGGCCATGCCTGCAAACCAACGATGAAGTTCTATATTTTCCCTGTGCTGGGAGAGGTGGTCATGTGACCTCCTGAATGCCTGGAAGCTATTGCTCTACCTACCTCTGAAAAGGGATCCACCGCCATGTAAACCTAGGCTAAGGCTGCTGATTCTGCTTTTTAATCCCCGGGGTTGATACCCTCCTAGCAGGACATACTCCACCCAACATTTGATGTCCTCTACCCTCAATATGTGAACACTCCTAGTGAATGCGGACCCCCCAAACATTTGATGCCCTCTTTACCATACCCCCGGGGTCAATATGTGAACATTCCCAGTGAATACAGACCACCCAGCATGTAATGTCCTCTGCCCATAACCCCCGGGTCAATATATAAACACGCTTTGTGAACACAGACTACCCAACATATGATGTCCTCTGCCCATAACTCCAGGGTAGGGACATCGATATAAGAACAGTTCTAGTGAATGTGGACCCCTCAACATTTGATGTCCTCTGCCCATAACCCCTGGGTCCAGGGGCGGACTGACAACTCATGGGGCCCCCGGGCAATAGGGGATCATAGGGCCCCTGTGTCCTTGCCCAAACTCAAAAAAGCCTATGAAAAAGGTACCAGGGGCATCTCATGGGGCCCCCTACTGACCCCGGGCCCTCGGGCAATGCCCGAGTTTCCAAATGGTCAGTCCGCCTCTGCCTGGGTCAATATATGAACATTCCCAGTGAATACAGACCACCCAACATGTGATGTCCTCTGCCCATAACCCCCAGGTCAATATATAAACACTTCTAGTGAATACAGACCACTCAACATATAATGTCCTCTGCCCAGAATCCCAGGGTCAATATATGAATACGCTTTGTGAACACAGACCACCCAACATTTGATGCCCTCTGCCCATAACCCTGAGGTCAATATGTGAACTCTCCTACTGAACACAGACCACCCAACATTTGATGCCCTCCGCCCATAACCCCGAGGTCAATATGTGAACTCTCCTAGTGAACACAGACCACCCAACATATGATGTCCTCTGCCTATAACTTCTGGGTCAATATGTGAACTCTCCTAGTGAATACAGACCACCCTACATATGATTTATTCTGCCCATAACCCCTGGGTCAATATATGAACATTCCCAGTGAATACAGACCACCCAGCATGTGATGTCCTCTGCCCATAACCCTGAGGTCAATATGTGAACTCTCCTACTGAACACAGACCACCCAACATTTGATGCCCTCCGCCCATACCCCCCGGGGTCAATATGTGAACAGTAATAGTGAACACAGACCACCCAACATTTGATGCCCTCTGCCCATAACCCCCGGGTCAGAGTGGGAACACTCCTAGTGAATCTGGACCCCCCAACATTTGATGCCCTCTGCCCATAACCACCGGGTCAATATATGAACATTCCCAGTGAATACAGACCACCCCAACATGTGATGTCCTCTGCCCATAACCCCCAGGTCAATATATGAACACACTCTTGTGAATACAGACCACCCAACATGTGATGTCCCTGCCCATAATCCCAGGGTCAATATATGACCGCGCCTAGTGAACACAGACCACCCAACATTTGATGCCCTCTGCCTATAACTTCTGGGTCAATATGTGAACTCTCCTAGTGAATACAGACCACCCTACATATGATTTATACTGCCCATAACCCCTGGGTCAATATATGAACATTCCCAGTGAATACAGACCACCCAACATGTGATGTCCTCTGCCCATAAGCCTGAGGTCAATATGTGAACTCTCCTACTGAACACAGACCACGCAACATTTGATGCCCTCCGCCCATACCCCCCGGGGTCAATATGTGAACAGTAATAGTGAACACAGACCACCCAACATTTGATGCCCTCTGCCCATAACCCCCGGGTCAGAGTGGGAACACTCCTAGTGAATCTGGACCCCCCAACATGTGATGTCCTCTGCCCATAACCACCGGGTCAATATATGAACATTCCCAGTGAATACAGACCACCCAACATGTGATGTCCTCTGCCCATAACCCCCAGGTCAATATATGAACACTCCTTGTGAATACAGACCACCCAACATTTGATGCCCTCTGCCCATAACCCCGGGGTCAATATATGAACACTCCTAGTGAATACAGACCACCCAACGTGATGTCCACTGCCCATAATCCCAGGGTCAAAATATGAACACGCTTTGTGAACACAGACCACCCAACATTTGATGTCCTCTGCCCATAACCACGAGCTCAATATGTGAACTCTCCTACTGAACACAGACCACCCAACATTTGATGCCCCCTACCCATAACCCCGGGGTCAATATGTGAGCAGTCATAGTGAACACAGACCACCCAACATTTGATGTCTTCTGCCCATAAGCAGACCATCCTTCCCCAGTTCCCGGGTCCCTCAGGCTCATGCAGAGCCCTATCCAGGAACACACAGAGGAGCCAAGCCTGGAGACATGAACACGGAATACTTAGTTTCCTCCTCTAATAATAACCCAGAAACCTCCGGAGACAATGACATGACACCTTTGTTATGGATACAAATCTCAGGGTAGATTTGTTGGCACGATCAGTAATCCATGCTGCCAACGCCATCATTCTTGGTGCACGCACGAGAAACAACGGACGTGAAATTCTTTATAACAATTAAAGCCATTGTAAGGTTTAAAGTTTTTGTACTAAAATAAAAAAAAGATGTTCTACTTATCCTGAACCCTGCCCTGAACCCCCGTCTTCTCGGGGTTCCCCCCACCGGAACTCTTGGCTCCTCCTCATATCTACGTGCCACCATGGGAAGCTGCTAGGGTAGGATGGGATGGGGTGAAATGGGATGGAGTAGGATAGGATGGAGTACGATAGATTGGGGTAGGATGGGTTGGGGTAGGATGGGATGGGGTATGTTAGATTGGGGTAGGATGATAGGATGGGGTAGGATGGGGTGGGGTAGGAGAGGATGAGGAAAGATAGATTGGGGTAGGATAGGATGGGGCAGGGTAGGATGGCTTGGGGTAGGATGGGATGGAGTTGGGTAGGATAGGATGGGGTACGTTAGATTGGGGTAGGATAGGATGGGGGTAGGATGGGGTGGGGTAGGATAGGATGGGGCACGTTAGATTGGGGTAGGATAGGATGGGGTAGGATGGGGAGGTGTAGGATAGGATGAGGCAAGATAGATTGGGGTAGGATAGGTTGGGGTAGGATGGGATGGAGTGGGGTAGGATGGATTGGGGTAGGAAATGATGGGGCAGGATAGGATGGGATGGAGTAGGTATAGGATGGAATATGATAGGATGGTGTAGAATGGGATGGGGTAGAATGGGAAGGGGTAGGATAGGATGGGGTAGAATGGGATGGGGTAGAATGGGAAGGGGTAGGGATAGGATGGGGTAGAATGGGATGGGGTAGGATAGGATGGGGTAGAATGGGATGGGGTAGAATAGCATGGGCTAGGATGGGATGGGGTAGGATAGGATGGGGTAGGATGGGATGGAGTAGGTATAGGATGGAATATGATAGGATGGGGTAGGATAGGATGGGGTAGGATGAGATGGGGTAGGTATAGGATGGAATATGATAGGATGGTGTAGAATGGGATGGGGTAGGATAGGATGGGGTAGGATGAGATGGGGTAGGATAGGATGGGGTAGGATGGGATGGAGTAGGTATAGGATGGAATATGATAAGGATGGTGTAGAATTGGATGGAGTAGGCATAGGGGTTGGTACTCACAGGATGACGAGAGTGATGATCAGCAGGAAGAAGTAGATGAAGCGCCTCTTGCAGGTCATCCTCTTGGTCTGCTTCTGGTACATCTTCCCACCGCAGTTCCCGCAGCAGCGGCAGCAAGGGAAGAACAGTCCCACCAACGTCATCAGGATAATGAAGAGCAAGCCTATGGCAAGAGCCACCAGATAGCCAACTTCATACATCAGCACCTGGAAGAGAATGGGACTTTTAAAGACCTCGATTTCATTTCACCTTTGGTGTACAGCGCCCTGCTGGACCCCTCCTACCAACCCAGATCATCCTGCATTGTACAGATGTAGCGCACCCCGTAGGAGGCGCTGGTGAATGCAGTCCTATTTCCCCACTTAGCACACACAGCCAGGCACCTCACTTTTCCACTGGAGGGCTAGATACTGAGCCATGGGGAGCAGAAAAGAACTGTCAAAAGACCTGTGTAACATGGTAATGGAAATTTGAGTTGAAAATTGAAAAGGATATAAAAAGATATCCAAAGCCTTGACTATGCCAGTCAGTACTGTTCAATCACTTATTAAGACGTGGAAAATTCGAAGATCTCTTGATACCAAGCCAAGGTCAGGTAGACCAAAAAAGATCGCAGCCACAACTGCCAGAGGAATTGTTCGGGGGGTACAAAGAAAAACCCAAAGGTCACCTCAGGAAATACAGGCTGCTCTGGAAAAAGACAGTCTGTTTGTTTCAAGGAGCCTAATATGACGATACTTTAAAATGGAGCTCCACCCAAAAGGGGAAGTCCGCTTTAAAGATTGGTCCCCCACCCACTCCCCATTAAGGATTGACACCTTTTGGGAGCGTTTTACCCGAAATTGACAGGTACCCGCTCCCACTTCCGCTACGATCACCCTCCCTGTAGTCTTCTGGGACACGTGACAGGTCCAAAAATACGACGGGCCCATTCAGGAAATGCAGCGCTACTTGCGCATGCGTAGTGGGCACCTGGCTGTGAAACCAGAAGCTGTTACAGAAGCTGTTACACACTGAAGATGCTGGCTCCTGGAATACAGGAAGGCCGGTGAAAACGGGCTGCGGGGGGGGAGGGGGAGCACCGCGGGATCATGGGACAGGTGAGTGGGTGTTTTTTTAAAAGTCAGCAGCTACAGTTATTGTAGCTGCTGACTTTTTTTTTTTTTTTACAGAATGAGTGGAACTGCACTTTAACAAAAAAGAGCTGCATGGTTGAGTTGCCAGAAAGATGGCTTTTTTCTGCACCAATGCCAAAAAAAAAGCCCGGTTACAATATGCTCGACAACACGCCTCACAGCTTCTGGCACGCTGTAATCTGGAGTGACGAGACTAAACTAGAGTTTTATGGTCACAACCATTAGTGTTATGCTTGGAGAGGGGTCAACAAAACCTATAGCAACAAAAATACCATCCGCACTGTGAAGCATGGTGGTGGCTCACTGATGTTTTTTTTTGGGGGGGTGAGCTCTAAAGGCACGGGGAATCTTGCGAAAATTGATGGCAAGATGAATGCAGCATGTTATCAAAATATACTGGCAGACAATTTGCTTTCTTCTGTATACGAAATCTGCGTATGACAAGCTCTTGGACTTTCCAGCACAACAATGACCCCAAGCCCAAGGACAAGTTGATCCTCCAATGGTTACAGCAGAAAAAGGTGAAGGTTCTGGAGTGGCCATCACAGTCTCCTGACCTTAAAATATTTGAGCCACTCTGTGGAGATCTGAAATGTGCGGTTCATGCAAGATGACCAAACATGTTGCATGACCTGGAGGCATTTTGCCGAGACGAATGGGCAGCTGTACAACCGGCAAGAATCCGGGGCCTCATAGACAACTATAACAAAAGACGGCATGCTGTCATTGATGGTAAAGGGGGCGATACACGAGACTAAGAACCAAGGGGATGCAGACTTTTGAACAGGGGTTAACTGGAGAATAATTGGCCTCCTATGTGACCCATCCTACTTGGTGCCCACAAAGATGGGACATGGAGAAGGTTCCTACATTGCCACAGGATGCCCAACCACCAGTCTGTTCCTAGAGAGGGATGTAAACTCACACCACCATAGAACAGGAGTATTCCAACCGCCTGGCTACTCCTAGCTTCTCCAGACCCACTTGAGCCCTCGGACTTGAACTTGGATAGATCAGTAAGCTTAGCTGGGACTCACTGTCAGGAATGGGCTCACACAGGTGGTGCTTCACCTAACTTGTGGGCTGCAGGCTGGCCAGCGGTGCTCTCAGCAGCCAGAATCTCACTCCTGCAAACTCAAGTCATCACCTGAGAATTGCAGGAGGTGTATTTAAGCAATGGCCAGGCCTGCAGTCAGTGCCTGGTGTTTGTGCCCATGAGCCCCTGTACTGGTATCCTGCCTGATGATCTGCTTCTCCAGACCCAACTTTCCTGACCTCTCGCCTGCTCCTTTGTACCTTGTGCCTAGATCCCCCAGCTAAGCTTAGCTGGGATCTCATGTGTCCTAAATAAATTATATTGTTTTACACTAATGAAGCCTGCTTCCCTATAACATCTGCCCCAGGGGCCTCTTCTATAAATCTGCCCCAGAGCCTCTGCACAAAGGTCTCCTCCAGCAGGACTAGACCCAGGAACTCCAGCCCTGCTGCTCAGGCCTCAAGACTATTTATGGGCTCCCTCAACATCAACTGAGCACACTTCCCCAGGTATTGGCTGGAGTTCTATAAATATTCAGTCTGCATGTCCGTCCATCCTCCCACTATGTTGCTGAATACTGCAGAAGAAGCAATCGGAGCAGCAGCTTGAGAGAAACTGAGAAGCCCTAAATAATCAACCTCTGATACACTGATTTAACAGCCCACCCTACTTCAGGAGGGTATTACATTGATAAGCACAGAGACCCAGTAATGATATCAATGGGATTAGCATAACCTACAAAATGAAAATGGTAGGGTTTTACTTATAAATGTAATTAGGCAAAAGAAAGGAAGGCAAAATACACTGATCAAAAAAATTAAAGGAACACTCTAAAAAACCTATCAGATCTCACTGGGGAAGAATCTCCTGCTGGTTCTCTATACTGACATGGACGGGGTGATGTGTTAGGAACGTAAGAATTCCCCCTTGTTTGATGGAAATGAAAATGATCGACCTCAAAGGAATGATGGTCCTCATAAATGTTTGTCATGGCCCCAGTACGTGTGGCTTGGGCTTGTATGCATGCCTGACAATGTCGGGGGAGGCTCCTAATGAGACCACTGATGGTGTCCTGGGGGATTTCCTCCCAGATCTGGACCAGGGCATCACTGAGCTCTGCACAGTCTGAGGTGTGACCTGGTGGCATCAGATGGGCCCAGACATGGTATCCAAGAGGTGTGCTATTGGATTTAGGTCAGGCGAGCGTGGGGGCCATTCAATGGGATCAATACCTTCATCCTCCAGGAATTGCATGCATACTCTCACCACATGAGGCCGGGCATTATTGTGCACCAGGAGGAACCCAGAACCCACTGCACCAGGAGGAACCCAGAACCCACTGCACCAGGAGGAACCCAGGACCCACTGCCCAGGACCCAGGACCCACTGCTCCAACGTGGGGTCTGACAATGGGTCCAATAATTTCATCCCCATACCTAATGGCAGTCAGGGAGCCATTGTCTAGCCTGTAGAGGTCTGTGCGTCCCTCAATGGATATGCCTCCCAGACCATCACTGACCCACCACCAAAACGGTCATGCTGAACCATGTTACAGGCAGCAGAACATTCTCCACGGCTTCTCCAGACCCTTTCACATCTGTCACGTGTGTTCAGGGTGAACCTGCTCTCATCTGTGAAAAGCCCAGGATGCCAGTGGTGGACCTGCCAATTCTGGTGTTCAAAGGCAAATTCCAATCCAGCTCTATGGTGCCGGGGCAGTGAGCACAGGGCCCACTGGAGGACGTCGGGCCCTCAGGCCTCCCTCATGAAGTCTGTTTCTGATTGTTTGGTCAGAGACATTCCCACCAGTGGCCTGCTGGAGGTCATGTTGTAGGGCTCTGGCAGTGCTCATCCTGTTCCTCCTTGCACAAAGGAGCAGATACCGGTCCTGCTGATGGGTTAAGGACCTTCTACAGCCCTGTTCCAGCTCTCCTAGAGTAACTGCCTGTTTCCTGGAATCTCCTCCATGCTCTTGAGACTGTTCTGGGAGACACAGCAAACCTTCTGGCAATGGCACGTATTGATGTGCTATCCTGGAGGAGTTGGAATGCCTGTGCAACCTCTGTAGGGTCCAGGTATGGGCCTCATGCTACCAGTAGTGACACTGACCCTAGCCAAGTGCAAAACTAGTGAAAAACAGTCAGAAAAGATGAGTAGGGAAAAAAAATGTCAGTGGCCTCCACCTGTAAAACCATTCCTGTTTTGGGGGTTGTCTCATTGTTGCCAATCTAGTGCACCTGTTGTTCATTTCATTAACACCAAAGCAGCTGAAACTGATTACCACCCCCCTCTGCGACTTCACTGACCAGGAGTTTCTTTGACTCGATGCTAGACTCTGATTACAGTCTTCCTTTCATTTTTTTGAGCCGTGATAAGCAGATTAAACTCCATCTTGAAGGTTTCTCAGCATTGGCTGATGGCAGACGGTTCTCTATACATAAAGGAGGAAGAGAATGAGCATAAAATAATTTTGGGCATTCCCCACTGGCAGTCTGTCGGCCGTGGACAGCACAAGCAGGATGTCTTATCTAACATACATCTGCAAGTTTACAGCTCACACAATGACCTCCTGGGATTGAACACCATAAACAATGAAAGGCGCAGATGTGAAGGAGGAAGTGAGCGCACCTGAAGACAATGGCAGCCATCCGTAAACCGTCTCCCAAGTGTATGTGGTGGCCAGACCTTCCAGGTTCAAGCTGTTCCTCTACTACAAAAGGGCTGGTAAGTCAGCAAGGGTTTTACTAAATGACTGATGAGCAACAATGTTAGATATAGACAGGCATGTAATCAGCATCCAGCTGAACTTGACCAGCCTACAATCTTTTTTGGAAGCCAGCCTAAAGGGTTAGTTCATCTTACCCAAAAAAGCTGCCTATGCAGGTAAGGGGCGCCTGTAGATAAAACAAACTGTGCAACTTTGGCTGAAGTTGGATAACGCCCTTGCTATAGGTGTAGGTAATTTACGTACCACCTGAAGACTGGCTAAAAAAAACTTCCAGAGATGGCATCATCCCATCCTGCCTTGTTGCTA